GTGTGTCTCTGTGTATCTGTCGATCTGTGTAGCGGTTAGCGCCATGAAATACCCGGCGATCCAGCCACCCACCCCTTTTGTGTGCCACAGTGCCGGTAGCCTTCATAGGTGCTGCACACGGGGGATCTTTGTCTTCGTGTCTATAAAGGGTGGAGCGGTGACGCAGTGGTTTGCGCACCACACTGCGTGACACATCGAATATCTGAATCCTGTGCTGGGATTGTCACTTAGGTCGATTCAACCTTAAATGGTGCATATGGTGTGTGCAGTGAACATGGTGGTGGTGGTGGTGGTAACGGTGGGGGTGATGATGATGGTGGTGGTGGTAATGGTGATGATGGTGTTTATGATAATGGTGATGATGGTGGTGTTGATGATGGTGGTGTTTATGATGATGGTGTTTATGATGATGGTGATGATGGTGGTGTTGATGATGGTGGTGATGTTGGTGGTGATGGTGATGGCAGTAATAGTGATTATGATGATGGTGGTGTTGATGATGATGGTGATGATGGTGGTGTTGATGATGACGGTGGTGATGTTGGTGGTGATGATGGTGATGGCGGTAATAGTGATTATGATGATGGTGGTGTTGATCATGATGGTGATGATGGTGGTGTTGATGATGGTGGTGATGTTGGTGGTGATGATGGTGATGGCGGTAATAGTGATTATGATGATGGTGGTGTTGATGATGATGGTGTTTATGATGATGGTGATGATGGTGGTGTTGACGATGATGGTGTTTATGATGATGGTGATGATGGTGGTGTTGATGATGACGGTGGTGATGTTGGTGGTGATGATGGTGATGGCGGTAATAGTGATTATGATGATGGTGGTGTTGATGATGATGGTGATGATGGTGGTGTTGATGATGGTGGTGATGTTGGTGGTGATGATGGTGATGGCGGTAATAGTGATTATGATGATGGTGGTGTTGATGATGATGGTGTTTATGATGATGGTGATGATGGTGGTGTTGATGATGATGGTGTTTATGATGATGGTGATGATGGTGGTGTTGATGATGGTGGTGATGTTGGTGGTGATGATGATGGTGATGGCAGTAATAGTGATTATGATGATGGTGTTGATGATGATGGTGATGATGGTGGTGTTGATGATGACGGTGGTGATGTTGGTGGTAATGATGGTGATGGCGGTAATAGTGATTATGATGATGGTGGTGTTGATCATGATGGTGATGATGGTGGTGTTGATGATGGTGGTGATGTTGGTGGTGATGATGGTGATGGCGGTAATAGTGATTATGATGATGGTGGTGTTGATGATGATGGTGTTTATGATGATGATGATGATGATGGTGGTGTTGACGATGATGGTGTTTATGATGATGGTGATGATGGTGGTGTTGATGATGACGGTGGTGATGTTGGTGGTGATGATGGTGATGGCGGTAATAGTGATTATGATGATGGTGGTGTTGATGATGATGGTGATGATGGTGGTGTTGATGATGGTGGTGATGTTGGTGGTGATGATGGTGATGGCGATAATAGTGATTATGATGATGGTGGTGTTGATGATGATGGTGTTTATGATGATGGTGATGATGGTGGTGTTGATGATGATGGTGTTTATGATGATGGTGATGATGGTGCTGTTGATGATGATGGTGGTGATGTTGGTGGTGATGATGATGGTGATGGCGGTAATAGTGATTATGATGATGGTGGTGTTGATGGTGATGATGGTGGTGTTGATGATGATGGTGTTGATGTTGGTGATGATGATGGTGATGGCGGTAATAGTGATTATGATGATGGTGGTGTTGATGATGATGGTGATGATGGTGGTGTTGATGATGATGGTGGTGATGTTGGTGGTGATGATGGTCATGGCGGTAATAGTGATTATGATGATGGTGGTGGTGTTGATGATGGTGGTGGTTATGTTTCCTCGTGTCTGTGTGTATCTGTAAAGGTATTATTGGGCGGAGATGCGCCATCTCCATGCAGTTAGCCAGTAGCACCGACCACGTGCTAATAGGGGGCAGAAGAGGGGATGAGCCCCAGTGCCAAGAGACGATGGCCCATAGCGCCCAACAGTTACCCCTATGGAACGGCATGATCAGAGGTTACAGACCCCAGATCCCAGGAGGGGGCTGGGGGTTGACATCACTCCCAGGTCCTGCTGGAAGGTTCTGGAAGGAAGGTGTGGCCGGGGCGGAGCGAGCGACAGCCCTGCATAAAAACCGGACCTCTGAACGGTCCGGGCAGTCGTCGTTCACCCTAAGACCAAGAGCCTCCAGAAGAGAAGAGCCCAATGGGCAGAGCCCTACCCCTGGCTAGGATCGGCCCCAAGCTTATATACCAGTGAAGACCCAAGCTTCGCTCAAGAAGGTAGTTAGATCAGCCAGTGAGAGGCATATTATTCCGGGGGGGGCTACCAGCTTAACGTATCGGGTGCGAGGGGCTGCTACCCCTCTGTAGTAAGGATTCATTGTTAAATAAATTCCGTGTTGCCTCAAGGAACTCTCCTCTAGTTATTGAACCCACTGTATATCTACGTGTGTGTGTGTTTTTGTCTGTGTGTAGTGAGTCCAACTGAGTCGCAGACGTTACTCTTCAGAGGCAACACATTTATTCGCAACACGTATATACAAAGGGGTAAATGCCCCTTTAGCAGATACAGCCTAGGGTGGTGACCACCCAGCTAACTACACCACACATCGAAGTTACTGCTACAATGGGTCAGACCCTCACTCGGGTTCCCGGCCACGTGTTGGTGCCTCTTCAGACGTAGGGCGTAGAGCTTCCAGCTTGTAGAACGAAGCGAACCCGGTCCCTCTCAGGGACCCAGCTTTTATCCTCCTGAGTCGGGGCCGGCTCCACCCTCGGGTCCGCCCACCTTCGGGAGCATTCTAGCTCCCTCTCAATCCCTCTCGAGAGCTCTCCCCGGACACGTGATCACCCCATAGCCCCCCCCCCCCACCTGGGGGCTTCTCTTTGGACACTCCGGATCACGTGCCAACGGGGTCAACCAGAGTGCCATGGCCCGGGGCAACCCTGTCCCTGGGCTGACACTCTCCCGATCCCCCTTGTGGGAGCCCGCCTCTATATAAGGAACGTAACAGGTGGACTTCTCCACAAATCTGGCTGTCGCCTGATGAAGCTAGTTGTAATTACTGGCGAAACGTCGTACTCAGATTGTAAATGTCGTGGCTTGGCTCTCCAACACACCGGTGTGCAGTACTAGTGACGGATTGGCCACGTTCTGTTCATGTGAAAACCCTTACTAGTTGGCTGTGTCGGGTGGCGGTGGGTTTTAACGAAACATTTATAGCTTTTGTTCAGCCGGATAGAGGGGGCTAAAAGGGCACGACACGGGCTGGAGAAGAGATGGACTGATGTGGTACAGGATAATGTGGAACTGAGTGGACTTTCCGATGACTGGCACCATCCATGTCAAGATTGGCCTCTGTGGAGGAGGCTCATGAAGAACGCTACTGGGCAGTTGGAGGTAGTCGACCTCCAGCAACAACGAAGGGCAGTGGAGCGATGCTCACAACAACCAGCGGAACGCCGGGTGGCTAAAACACAGCAAGTTGGCACAGTTGTGGGCACAGGTGGTGTATCATCTTTGACTATGTAGTTCGATAAACTTTCCATGGTTGTACCGGAGAAATTTGCATCTGGTACACAGAAACAATGGGAGGCTGATCGATGCCCGAGTGTGGTCGAGGGATGGCTCCCTATCGGTCAACCATGTTATGTATGCTGACTCGGAGGAGGATTTGGAGGCACTGCTGCTGAAACCTGGAGTGTGTCACTAAGAGGTGGGGTCTTACCATCAGCCACACCAAAACTAAGTACGTGCCTGGGTATTTTGTGACATCAGACACTCCACCCCTCAGCTTCCCATTGGTGATGGAGCAGTTGTGGACAGAGTGGAAAATTTCCCAAACCTGGACAATGTGCTTATGATCAGCTGCGGTTTGACAATGGAGGTCTCACTCCGAATCAGTCGGGGAGCTTTATCATTTCACCGGCTGTGTAATGCTGCGTGGAAGCTGCCTGGTTTGTCACTTCGCACGAACCTTCGTCTTCTCGGCCACAGTCATGCCCTCCCTTACCTATGTTTGTTAAATGTGGACCCTATAATGGAACATCTGCGCTGATTAGACACATTCAGGATGGCCTGCCTACGATCCATCCTGGGTTTAACCAGCCTAGATTGTTTGAGGAGCTCACAAATCCTTGAAAAATCTGGACACATTCCTCCCAGTGAACTCCTCCCGCAGGTAAGGCTGCATTGGCTGGGTAATGTAGCCCGCATGCACAGCCACCACATGCCCACCTTCTGATAAGCCTCAAAGAGAGAGCTAAACGGTCCGACATGAGCTGGAAAAGAGATGGACTGATGCGGTATTGGAGAATGTGGAGCTGAGTGGACTTGCCGAAGACTGGTACCAGCAGTGTTAAAATCGGCCCCTATGGAGGAGGCTCGTGAAATACGCTACTGAGCAGTTGAAGGCAGTTGCCATACAACAACAACTGAGGGCAGAGGAACGACGCTCGCAACAACGCTGGGCAGCTAAAATACAGCAAGTTGACACAGTAGGGGGTGCATCAACCAGTCATCACAGTCAGCCAACCCATGGAACTTGCTGGGTCTGTCCCGTGACCTCCTGTCACGTGGCTTCAAAGTGCACCTAGCATGGCACAGGTGCCGTGGTGACATCACCGTCACTTAGTGGCGAATGGCGGGTATTGGTATTGGTGATGATGGTTGTGATGATGATGATGGTGGTGGTGTTGATGATGGTGGTGGTTGTGATGATAATCGTGGTGATGGTGTTAATGGTGATGGTGATGATGGTGATAATGATGGTGGTGGTGATGGCAATGGTGTTGATGGTGGTGACAGTGGTGGCGACGGAGGTGGTGATGGTGGTGCTAGTGGTGGTGGGTTATGGTGGTGGTGATGGTGTTGAAGATGATGGTGGTGTTGATGATTGTTATTTTTACTTTCAGAATGGCGTCACTGAAGGTGACGGTGATGATGGTGGCGGTAATGGTGATGAAGGCTGAGGTAAGGTGATGCTGATAATGCTGCGGTTGCTGATGATGTTATGTTGGTAATGATGATGCTGATGATGACGATGCTGATAATGTTATTGATTTTGTTTTTTAGGCTCAAGCTACTTCAAATGTGAGTAACTTACACACACAGACACACACACTATGAGGGTGGATATTTTATTCAGAAGAGTGGCTCTTCTTCTGAACAAAATAATGAATGGGTTGGTGAGGTGTGGGAAGCTGTAAGTACCAGGGTACTGTGGGCTCACCTCCGCATCAACGTTGATGGAGGTTGCTTGCGCTCTCACCAAAGATGAACATCAGTAGATGGATGCAGGCAAGGCCGATGAGTCAGATGCCTTCAAAGACCTCCTGTCTCAGGTCCTAGCTAACGTGGCCTCTTCGGATAGAGTCATCCTGTTGGGTGGTTTTAATGCCCGAGTGGGTCAAGATGCAGACACCTGGGCTAGAGTGATTGGAAGGCATGGGCCAGATCAGCTCACCGATAAGGGTAGGAGACTCCGAGACTTGTGAGCAGCCCGTGGGAGTGTAATCAGCAACACGCTTTTCCGGCATTGGCGCATCCACACAACATCGTGGATGCACACCGTTTTTAAGCAGGAACATCTGCTGCTGGGCAATCTTGTGACACCTTTCAAGTAATAATAACTTGCAGAAATGGCGTCATTGGCGGTAATGATGGTGGCGATAATTGTGATGGTGGCTGAGTGTAAGGTGATGCTGATAATGCTGCGGTTGCTGATGATGTTATGTTGGTAATGATGATGCTGATGACGATGATGCTAGTGATGTTATTGATTTTGTTTTTTAGGCTCCTATTACTGAATTCGTGAGTAACCTACACACACAGACACACGCACACTATGAGGGTGGATATTTTATTCAGAAGAGTGGCTCTTCTTCTGGACAAAATAATGAATGGGTTGGTGAGGTGTGGGAAGCTGTAAGTACCTGGGTACTGTGGGCTCACCTCCCCATCAACGTTGATGGAGGTTGATTGCGCTCTCACCAAAGATGAACATCAGTAGATGGATACAGGCAAGGTCGATGAGTCAGATGCCTTCTACGACCTCCTGTCTCAGGTCCTAGCTAACGTGGCCGCTTCGGATAAAGTCATCCTGTTGGGTGACTTTAATGCCCGAGTGGGTCAAGATGCAGACACCTGGGCTAGAGTGATTGGAAGGCATGGGCCAGATCAGCTCAACGATAAGGGTAGGAGACTCCCGAGACTTGTGAGCAGCCCGTGGGAGTGTAATCACCAACACGCTTTTCTGGCATTGCCGCATCCACACAATATCGTAGATGCACACCGTTTCCAAGTGTAGTGGATTAAACTGTGTCGCAGACGTACTCTTTGGAGGCAACACGTTAATTGATACCAACACCAAAGGGGTAACTGCCCCTTTACCAAATAACAACCTATGGTGGTGGACCACCAGGCTAACTACACACTATGGTGGTGGACCACCAGGCTAACTACACACTATGGTGGTGGACCACCAGGCTAACTACGCACTATGGTGGTGGACCACCAGGCTAACTACACACTATGGTGGTGGACCACCAGGCTAACTACACACTATGGTGGTGGACCACCAGGCTTATTACGTTAATCACACCGTAACTAGCTTCGTAACCACCAGACTAACTACACTAATTACACCATAACTAGCTACATAACCACCAGGCTAACTACATTAATTACACCGTAACTAGCTACATAACCACCAGGCTAACTACACTAATTACACCATAACTAGCTACATAACCACCAGGCTAACTACATTAATTACACCGTAACTAGCTACATAACCACCAGGCTAACTACACTAATTACACCGTAACTAGCTACGTAACCACCAGGCTAACTACATTCATTACACCATAACTACCTACGTAACCACCAGGCTAACTACATTAATCACACCGTAACTAGCTACGTAACCACCAGGCTAACTACGCTGATCACACTGTAACTAGCTACGTAACCACCAGGCTAACTACGCTGATCACACTGGGAGTAGCTACAATGGACTGGTCCCCGGCTTGGGTCCAGGACCACGTGTTGGTGACTCTACTCGGACGTAGAATGTGGATCTTCAGATGACAACAGCAACGCTGAACCCCGGTCCATCTGGGGACCCGGTTTATATGCTCCCTGGTCGTGCCTGGCCCCGCCCTTGGCCACGACCACCTTCTCGAAATCTCGAGCAGGATCTCACCTGACACGTGACCACCTGGGGGCCCCTGTGTAGACCTTACACGTCACGTGCCTTCAGGGTTAACCAGAGTGCCATGGCCTGCAGTAACCCCATTCCATGACTGACACTCTCACACCCCATCCTGTAGGGGTCGGCACTGCACGCCACACGTGGTGCAACTCAGCGCCATGGCTGAGCGCTCACCGAGCCCCTCTGGGGCCGGTATTACACCCACATGTACGGGGTGTCCGCTATGGAAATACATCGCACGCCGTGCCTCGCTAGGGCCGGCACCACACAGTGACATCCGCGAGAATATCTGCTGGGCTATATAGTGACATCTTTCAACTAATAATAACTTGCAGAAATGGCGTCACTGACGGTGATGATGGTGGAGGTAATGGTGATGGTGGCTGAGGTAAGGTGATACTGATAAAAATTGTGGGAGCTGATAATGCGTATGTTGTTAATGATGATGCTAATGATGTTTTTGATTTTGTTTTTTAGGTTCCAGTTACTACAAATGTGAGTAACTTACAACAACAACAACCGCCATTCAACACTAAGTGGCGGTGACGTCACCACGACATTTGTGCCAGGCCATTTGCACCTTCAGGCAACGTGAAGTGTCGAACGCCCGCGGGCAGGAGGTCACAGGGAAGACCCAGGTGCCACGGGTCGACTGACTGAGATGACTGAGATGACTGTCTGGTGCACCACCTGTGCCCCCTATTATGCCAACCTGCTGTGCTCTAGCCACCTGGCGCTCCGCTCGTTGTTGTGAGCATCGCTCCTCCACCCTCCATTGTTGTTGGAGGGTGACTACCTCCAACTGCCCAGTAGCGTCCTTCACGAGCCTCCTCCACAGAGGCTGATCTTGACACCGCTGGTACCAGTCATCGGCAAATCCACTCAGCTCCACGTCCTCCTGTACCACGTCACTCCATCTCTTCTCTAGCCCGTGCCGCGCCCGTTTAGACCCCTCGATCCGGCCGAACAAAAGGTGTTTCGGCATGCAGTGGCTGGGTATGCGGGCTACATGACCCAGCCAACGCAGCCTTGCCTGCCGGAGGAGCTCACCGATGGGACCTTGCCCAGATCTTTCAAAGATTTGTGAGCTCCTCACACAATCCAGCCTGGTTAAACACAGGATGGATCGTAGGCAGGCTAGCCTAAATGTTTCTAACTGGGGAAGATGTTCCATTAGGGGGGTCCACGTTCCGCAAGCATAGAGAAGGAGGGAATGACCGTGGCCGAGAAGACCTGAAGCTTAGTGCGGAGCGACAGACCAGGTAGCTTCCACACAGCGTTACACAACCGATGAAAAGATATTGCCGCTCGACTTATTCGGAGTGAGACCTTTGCTGTTAAACTGGAGCCGGTCATAAGCACACTGCCCAGGTATGGGAAACTCTCCACTCTCTCCACAACTGCCTCATCACCGATTGGGAGTTGTGGGGGTGGAGTGTCCGATGGTACAAAATACCCAGGCAGGTGCTTAGTTTTGTTGGGGCTGATGGTAAGGCCCCATCTCTTAGTTGCACGCTCCAGTCTCAGCAGCAGCATCTCCAACTCCTCCTCTGAATGAGCAGCTATTACCAGATCATCGGCATACATAACGTGGTTGAGCAATAGGGAGCCATCCCTTGACCGCACCCAGGCATCGATCAGCATTCCATTATATCTGTACCAGATGGAAATTCCTCCGGTACAGCTACTGAAGGTTTCACGAACTACGTGGTCGAAATAGATGTTAAATAATGTTGGAGCCAGAGGACATCCCTGTCGCACCCCAAGGTGAACAGGGAATGGCTCTGACTCCCAGCGACGTAGTTTTACCCGGGCCCGCTCACCATCATGAAGGTTCTTAATGATAGTGAGCAGAGGGTCAGGTACTCAAAAAGCACGAAGAACAACCCAGAGCCCAGGCCTACTGATGATAGCATAGGCCTTGACCAGGTCAATAAAGCAGACATGTAGGTCTTGCTGGAATTCCCTATACCTCTGCTGCAGCAGACGGACAGAAAATATGGCATCTGTGCAGGACCGCCCTTTCCTGAAACCGCATTGGGGCTCCGCAAGCCTCTCCTCAGCGTGCCTGGCAAGGCGATGTTGAATAATCCTTGCCAGGACCTTTCCCGGCACACTGAGGAGTGAGATGCCCCTGTAGTTGTTACAGTCTGTGCGGTCCCCCTTCTTAAAGAGGGGGACCACCAGGGCATCCTTCCAATCCTGCGGAACCCGTTCAGTGGTCCAGACTGTTGTTATGATGTTATATAGGGCAGTCTGTGCACAAACGCCACCCTCCCTCCGCAATTCGCTTGGGAGATCATCTCTGCCCACTGCCTTTCCTGATCTCAGTCTCCGGATCGCCTTCAGTACTTCCTCAACAGATGGCACTTCAGCCAGCCACTCACAGGGGGTGACTTCTTCCAATATTTGAGGCACCGCAGCCTCAGCAGGGTAATCCTCACTTTGTGCCACGATGTTTTCCTGGCTGAGGTATTTTCCCTCCCCCAGGACCTCACAGAAATGCCCAGCAAATCTGCAAACCTGTTCCTGGGGGTTGGAGATTGGATCACCGATTTTTCCCCTAATGATGGTAATAGGTGTGACGCTGCAGGTTATTTTTTGATGGAGTTAAATAGAGGTTTGTGATCGCGGGCCACTGAGGCAGACTCCATCTCCTCAGGAACCCTCGACCACCACCAATCCTTGCAGCGCCCAGGGCTCTCCGAATCTCCGAGCGAAGGCTGCGTGAAGCCTCCTCATTCTCTGACTTGGGATTCTGTAGCCAATGACAGTGGGCCTGTCGCTTTTTCTCAACCATCCTGAACACCTCCTCTGTCAGCCAGGGTCTCTGGGGAGGTCTGGACCGCGTACCCAAAGCAGCCATTGCAGCTGCATGAGTCACAGTCGTAAACCCTTTACCTTCGACATCAGGAGGAGTGGGGGATGATGCCAACCCCAGCCGCAAGCGATGATGAAATTCTCGCTTGTAACTTTCATCAGATAACTGAGACCAGGCCACATTGGGTTGGAATGGGGTCCTGGGTGTACACCCAACACCGGAGTGGAAGAATGGCAGGCGCATCTTACAGATGACTAGTCGATGGTCAGAGGGCAGATCAGCTCCACGGTAGGTCCTGGTGTCAAGGACATGGGCTCGCATCCGCTGGTCCGTCACTATGTAGTCCAGCAGGTGTTCTTGCTTGGACCCAGCATGCATCCATGGTGTTGTGTGGATGCGCCTATGCCGGAACAGCATGTTGGTAATTACAAGCCCATGGGCTGCACAAAGATCTAGCAGCCTCCTACCGTTGTTATTGAGCTAATCTGGTCCATGCCCTCCAATCACTCCAGACCAGGTGCCAGCATCATGACCAACTTGGGCATTGAAGTCACCCAACAAGATGACTCTATCCCGAGGGGCCACTTTAGCCAGCACCTGTGACAGGAGGTCATAGCAGGCATCTGACTCATCGGCTTTGCCTGCATCACCCCACGGATGTTCGTCTTTGGTGGGGGCATAATTAACCACGACCATCACTCCTCACCTCCGGTTGATGGGAAGGCGAGCCCAAAGTAGCCTGGGGCTTACAGCTTCCCACACCTTACTGCCACGCTCCCACGCCCCCTTCATTATTTTGTTCAAAAGAAGAGCCACACCCTGTTGTTTGGCAGTCTGCTGCCCCGCGTAGAGAACTGTCCACCCCTCATGGTGGCATGAGCCAGAACCGGTCCACCGGACCTCCTGAATGCCACAGAGATACAGGCAGTACCGGTCCAGCTCTCGACAGAGGAGTGACAGCCTCTCATCCACAGTGAGCGTTCGAACATTCCACATGGCCATCCGTAGTGGCTTATCCTTGTTTCTTACACACACACAGACACGCACACTATGAGTGTGGATATTTTATTCAGAAGAGTGGCTCTTCTTCTGAACAAAATAATGCATGGGTTGGTGAGGTGTGGGAAGCTGTAAGTACCTGGGTACTGTGGGCTCACCTCCCTATCAACGTTGATGGAGGTTGATTGCGCTCTCACCAAAGATGAACATCAGTAGATGGATGCAGGCAAGGCCGGTGAGTCAGATGCCTTCAAAGACCTCCTGTCTCAGGTCCTAGCTAACATGGCCGCTTCGAATAAAGTCATCCTGTTGGGTGACTTTAATGCCCGAGTGGGTCAAGATGCAGACACCTGGGCTAGAGTGATTGGAAGGCATGGGCCAGATCAGCTCAACGATAAGGGTAGGAGACTCCCGAGACTTGTGACCAGCCCGTGGGAGTGTAATCACCAACACGCTTTTCTGGCATTGGTGTATCCACACAATATCGTGGATGCACACCGTTTTTAAGCAGGAACATCTGCTGGGCTATATAGTGACATATTTCAAATAGTAATAACTTGCAGAAATGGCGTCACTGACGGTGATGATGGTGGCGGTAATGGTGATAATTGTGATGGTGGCTGAGCTAAGGTGATGCTGATGCTGCGGATGCTGATGATGTTATGTTGGTCATGATGATGCTGATAACGATTATGCTGATTATGTTATTGCTTTTGTTTTTTTAGGCTTCACTTACTACAAATGTGAGTAACTCACATACAGAGACATACACACTATGAGGGTGGATTGCTCTTCTTCTGAGCAAAATAATTAAGGGGTTGGTGAGGTGCGGGAAGCTCTAAGTACCAGGGTGCTGTGGGCTCAGCTCCACATCAACGTTGGTCCATCCGACCTTCTGGAGCCAGCTACTCAGATGCATGTGAACCGTACCCAACGGTCAGTGGTGATAGTGGTGATGGTTGCTGTTATGGTGTTGATGATACTGATGATGGTGATGGTGGTGATGGCTGCTGGTCGGTAACGCTGTGGTGGCTGTGAGCAATGCCATTGGTGGAGAGGCTCATAACAATCAGCCGTTCCCCTCATGGTGTCTCAGATTACTGTTGGTTTGCTTCATCAACAGCACAGGTGGTGGTGCATTTGTTAGTCAACCCATGGCACCTGTGATTCTATCCCATGACCTCATATCACAACACGTCACTTGGCCTCAAGGTGCACCGAGCCTGACACAACGCCATGATGATGTCATCGCCACTTAGTGACAGATGACGGTTGTTGTTTTTTGTCGTTGGTTGTGATGGTGGTGAGTGGTGATGTTGTTGCTGGGGCTGATGATAACGGTGGTGGCGATTACAGCAACGATGATGATGATGCGAGATGTTAACTACCTCGCCTCGTATACAGGAGTTCGTGGGTTCGATTCCGACCCTGAGGCCTGCTGAAAAATGGAGTTTGCGTGTCTCTCTGTCCGTGGTGGTCGCGTGGATTTTTCTCCGGGCCCTGCGGTTTTTCCCTCCACATTTAGAATCAACGTCACCATGCGTTTGAGTATTTGGCTACTATACATTTCCACACGACGATGATGATCAGACAATTCGTTGATCTACCATTTGTGATAGCCAAGTCACTTTGTAAAATAGCCATACACCTCAGTGGGCCTTATATGTTAAAATAAAAAAAGTATTTAAAAAAGAGTTTCAATATCGCTGATGTTTGATTTTACTGATTATGCTTTTTTTGCAGAATGCCACATTCTCTCCACATATCGTGAGTAGAAGAATGCTGTACACATCCCATCAGCACATGCACGCACACTACACACGCATGGACCTTTCCCTCTAAGAATTCATCTCACCGACACCATGGGTTTAGCACATCCCATTTGCATGGTTTGCTACGTACGTTGCGAAAGAAGTTGAACATACACACAGACATACACACTACACTAGACTATACACTACACTATGATACACTATGCTATTGTGAGGGTTGCTCGTTTTTTTATTAAGATTGGAGAGGGATTCAGCTACATTCTCTCTCCCATGCAATTCCCTCAAGGGCACCAATATGGACTTTTGAACATACTTTAATGACGGTATACAATAACGCAATCCGGAATACAGTCTTACTAAGATTTAGAATGTATGACACTTCGTTCAAAGACGCGAATCAAACACTGGTGGATAATAACTTCCCGCATCTGCAATGTTTCTCCAATCTTAATGTTCACTTTAGTAAAATATTAACTTTATAAGTAATATATTGTACATTTTTGCTCATTGCTGTATTTATTGTATTTTTAATGTGTATGCGACCTGTTGCAAATATTGTCTTTTTAATTTAAGTTTTTGTTGTTGTTGTTGATTAAACTCGATTCAAGAGCTTACGTAGCTCACAGGGCAATTCTATATAAACTGTTCAACTATACAGAGCGCCAATCGTGTTGACAACAACTTCAGAACAATCAGTACAAGACTTTTAATAATTCTTGCTTAGTGTACCCGCTTGTCAAAAATTACCGAACGCTGAATAGAACCGACTCCTTGAAACAATAACAGAGCACCGTGGTAATCTCTCTATATATATAAAAGGGAAATTTGTGATTATGTGTATCTGTTCGAAATGTTTAGCATACTTCTGAATAGAACCGACTCCTTGAAACAATAACAGAGCACCGTGGTAATCTCTCTATATATAAAAGGGAAATTTGTGATTATGTGTATCTGTTCGAAATGTTTAGCATACTTCCCGACATGCAACAATCTTGAACTTTGGCATGTGGGTAGTTTCCAGACTGTACACAATGCGAATACAGTAAAACGTTGGATTGCGAGTAACTTGGTCTGCGAGTGTTTTGCAAGACGAGCAATTTTTTTGTTATAATTTTTTACTTGATAAACGAGCAAGGTCTTGCAATACGATTAGTACGAATAGGCTTTGTCTGCCGAGCGTCACGTGATCACAACTGAGCCAATGGTTCTTCTCTCTCTCGCCGCGGGATCGTGGGTAATCGTCTCCCATGCTCGGTATCAGTCAGCGTGCCTCACTCGTATAGTCAACATCCGTGCGAGCGTTTACTGTTTACTACAGTATACTGTTTACTACAGTACTATAGTGTTGTGACCACGTGAATACTGTTTACTACAGTATAGTGTTGTGACCACGTGTGTGTGCGTAAAGCATGTTTTTATTTTGTGTCCAAGTGTAGAGACTGTTCTTTAGTAACTGTATTGCAACAATGGCCCCCATGAAGAAAAAGGTTAAATCCCTCACTTCAAATGAGATTAGGGAGATGTGTAAAATGTGGGAAACACCACCCAAATAAGGCTGTAGCAGTGCGAGCGATGAATCTGTTTAACGACAATGCAATGTCAGATTTCTGCGAAGTCCTCAAAAGGAGGCAAAAGCGAGCGTCAATGGGATAGGATCCTTGTTAAAGTCGCACAAAAATAACAAGATTCTAGTGCGCCAACAGATGGCAGTGATTCCGTTACTGACGGTGAAAGTCGTTCTACACAATAACCCTCTCCTCAACTCCTCTCTCTCGCGTCCCTCACACCAGCCAGGATAAAATTTAATTAATTAATTTCATTACTTAATATTACATTTAAATAATAAAAAATGTAAAAAGGTATTTTGTATTAATAATTTTTACATGAATATTTTTGCATAAACTTTTATATTATTGGCAACAACTGCCGCCAATTAAAACCAGACGGAACGGCACCGTTGCTTCCAGAAGTTGGGTTTTTTAGGGGATTCTCCCCCCTCACTACTCACCTCATGTAACCTCAGCCACCTCGGCTCTCCACTGCGCAACACCACTGGGCCACACCGTTATATTCCACCCCCTTCAAACCAGCCCCTCCACTCCACAAGTGTTTGTCCCGACCAGACCAGGCAGGGTGGCTGTGCATATGGCGCATACCAGACATGAATCACTTCCCATCCGGGGGCTGTGGCGATGTTTTTACGTTCGGCACCCATACTAGTGTAATGACTCTCGGACAACACAAACTGTATAGGGTTTTTTTAGTTATTGTTTAGGGCGCTTCACGCAGATAACTTGGCTCGGGGTGACGCGCAGATAATTTGGGCCAGGGATGGCAAGCAAATGGCGACAATGCAGAGACATAGATTTGAAGCTTTCGTGACTGCAAGGATTCATAATCTTTGGTTTTATTCTGTAAAGTCACGTAGATAAAATAAAACAAAATAAAACAATTAAATCACGACGTTTCAGGAATATCTGACACAGATATTCTGTGTTGACTTTTCCACCTGAAGACAGAAGCTTGTGTTGCCTCCGAAACGTCGAGATTTATTTATTTTATTTTGTTTTATTTCATATACGTGACTTTATAGAATAAAACCAAAGAGTATGAATGCAGAGACAGTCGACCCTGATCCCACAGCAGCCCCGAACCTTGCCTCTCCTCTCCTTTTACCCCAACGTGGCCCTCACTCCGCCCCCGACCACGCCCCCTTTCTCGAACTCTCTAGCCCGTTCCTGAACTTCCCAGATGATTCCGCTCTGTAATTACCCCTCGTGACCACCCGACCATGCACTGTCACTGCACCCGCACTGTCTCCACACGAGGTACGAACAAGGACAGCTATACCGTAAAAGTTTCTTATAATAAACTTTCTCCTTCATTAGGCCTCTGAACAAAGGGAGTTGCTAATGTCACTTTCTTCTGAACATACTTTGAAGATTAAGCCTCCTGATAGAATTAATACCCCACCTTGGTGAATGAAGCATTAATTATATCAATCAGTTTAATTAAGAACCCCCCTTTACCTAATGTAACCGCAGCCACCTCGACTCACCTCTGAAACATAGCGCTCGCCCACACCATTCCAACTATTATACACAACACTACTCTACACTACTGTACACTATGCACTGAAATACTATAGACTATACTTAACTATGGAATGAGACCACGTGTTCTTCATTGCAAGGCCCCGCAGGGCCACTGACGACCACCCCCGACAACACACAAACAGCGACACACCCCGCTCCCCCGTCATCATCATCATCATCGTGCTGCTTGCTGTGAAATCCCCCAATGGTTGTTCCTAAACGTGTGGCGTGGCCCCTCACTCGCCCTGCTGACGTCTTGTCGGCAGTCCCACCCCACCCCCCTGAAATGAATTAGTGAAAAAACACTGAAGGAGAGCAGCGATGATCCACTCACTAACTCCGCTTGCTCCTGACGAGGTTTTCCTGGCTTTGACCACCTGAATGTGACGTTGTACAAAAGAAGAAGAAGCGCCAATGAAGGCCGGTACTGTGGCACACGAGGGGGTGGGTGGTCAGGATCACGCACACCCGACCGCCTTTGTCTCCCCAGTGATGATCATGCTGCTGACGATGATGATGATGCTGCTGCTGCAGACGATGATGATGTTACTAATGAGAATGATGATGTTGTTTTGCAGGTGACAACGGTCGCTCAACCTGCAGTGAGTAGAATAATATTGTACACATCCCATCAGCACCCACACCCGCCCACTACATGCGGGTGGAACTTTCCCCTATGAGAGTTAAGCACACCGGCAGGATGGGGTCAGCACCTCTGATTTGCACGGTTGGCTACGTACGGTGAAAAAGAAGTTAAACATAGTAAACTCACCTTTACTCTACTAACTCAATGAAAAGTCTCCCCCCCCCCAACTCGCGTCTCCCCCCCCCCCAACTCGGGTAACCATTATCCTTGAGAGCAGGGTGTACGTGCTTGAGTTCACTGGCAATGTGTTCCTGGTCCGAGATGCATTGGGCTCTATGGTGTAGAGTCTTGATGACGGAATTCTTCTGGGATGGATGGTGGTGGGAATCCGGTTTTAAGTAAGCATGGTTACTCCGCCTACACAATCCGCAAAGCCATCACCCCAAGCATGAAGAAGGATCCTCTTGAGGAGCCATTCAAAACCACCACATTACCCTACATTGTGGGGATCACAAAAATATCTCCAAAATCTTGAATACCCTGGCATCTACCCTGGCATCTACAAACTAAGTTGCCTCTGTGGTAGTAGTTACATTGGAGAAACCAAACGGCATGTCTCGGACCGCAACAGTGAACACAAAGCAGACCTAAAACATGGTAGGACCAACACTTCGGCCGTGGCAGATCACGTTATAATTCAGTAGGCTCACATGACATTGACTTCTCCAAGACAGAGTTTATTTGCAAGCCATCTGGCTACCATGAGAAATTCGTTCATGAGGCTATCCACATATAGAAACACAGAGACAATTTCAACCGAGAAGATGGATTATGGCTTAGCAATAATTGGAAGGATTTGATAAAACCATTTCGGGTCTTAATTGATTGTTCACGCTTACGGTGGCTTTCAGACCGCATCCATTATTTTTCGTCTCCCCCCTCCTCTTTTCCGAACATAGAGGGACTCATCCATCTGTATAACTGCCAAATCGCTCACCGTGGTGCAAACGTTAAAATAACCGTCACTTTTTTCAAAATTTCTTGCTGTGGTTTTCACACCTGATTATGATTGCTTGTGTTGCAGTCGAAACATCGTGAGGTTCTTATTGTTATATATTTTTAATTATTTTATTGTTTCCCTTCTACGTGACTTTACCGAAAGAACCAAGAATATGCTTCCCTGTAGTCACGAAAGCTTTAAATCCAACTTTAACCGCCTCTACAACGAGGGTTTCCACATAGCTTTGAGATCATTCAACAAACTCCGGGATAAGAAGGCTCAGCTGATCGAGTCTCTCACCTTTCTGAAGAGATACCGTGACTCTGGGGTAATACCAATCGCATTTACACTGACCTCTGCTGCTGTAACTTCTTCAAATGCGAAACGAATTTTTTCCAGCACCAGCTTAGCTCTTATCTCAGAGAAAATCAGACTTATACACACCGAACTAGATCATTTAGACAAGACACTCTACAAATCACACTTATCATTGACGGAAACAATGTTCACATCGGATTGGGAACATGTTGACAATATGACTGCTTCTTCAGCTGCCACTATGTCGACCAAATGTAAGGACAACCTGATTTACAAATTTAACCTCCCCTCCAACAAATTACTGGACCCACACACCAAAAAGCTAGACGTTAACAAAGTCGTAATTAATCGCAGTAACAGTTCTATTTCCGATGGTCTGAAATTGGTTTTAGCTAAAGGGCTAAACTTTGCAGTTACACCTAAAAACATACCAGTTAATGATATCATTGCCCAAGTAGACGTGGCTCTCAAGGGCCTGGGTCACATCGCTGCAGACGTAGTAAGATCTTAAATTGCTGCAACCCTCAAAAACGCAAATGTATTAAAAAAGAGGGATGACATTGTCATCCTCTCAGCCTACAAGGACAATGCCACTGTCATCATGGATAAAATAGAATATAACAACAAAATTCAAGAATTACTCAACGATGGCAGCTATAAAAAAAATAAAGAGAGACCCCACCAACTGCCTCGTCATACAAACCAACAAAATAATTTCTGATTCAACTGCATTAAATGATAAAACCAAACAGTTCTCGTTGAAGCCTTCTGCTGCCAGGCCACCAAGATTATACATACGGCTTACCAAAAATACATGAAGTAGATACACCCCTTCGTCCCATCGTCTAAACAAACAACTCCCGCCCCTTTCAAATTGGCTCGTTTTATGTCTGAAATCTTGCGGCCTTACAATGGAAAAACCACCTCTGCGGTACAAAATTCTACTCAGCTGGTATCGACAAACAAGGGTATTTCCCTGTCCCCAGACGACCTGCTTGTCAGTTTTGATGAGGTTTCCTTATTCACCAAAGTTCCTGTACCTGACATCATCGCAATCATTGAAGACTTGGTTAATCAAGGACAAAACACTGAGGTACTCCCCTGGTAAGACACTACTTAACCAATACATACTTCACTTGCAATCGAACTTCCTACAAACAAACTGAGGGCACCCCAATGGGCTCCCCCCTATCTCCGGTTGTAACCAACATTTTCATGGAGAAATTTGAGACTGACGCCATCCAGACTGCCGCTCTGCGCCCAACCTTATGGACGAGGTAAGTGGATAACACTTTTGTCATCTGGCCACATGGCCGGCCTGCTCTAGACCAATTCCTCGACCACATCAATTCCATACACCCAGCCATCAGATTTAAAATGGAAGTCGAAAAAGATGGCAAGCTACCTTTTTTGGATGTCCTAATAAATAAGAGACCTGATGGTTCAATGAGCCACTCTGTCTACTGGAAAGCTGCCCATACAGATGCTTACCTGAAACCGGATTCCCACCACCATTCATCCCAGAAGAATTCCCTCATCAAGACTCTGCACCATAGAGCCCAATGCATATCCGACCAGGAACACATAGCCAATGAACACAAGCATGTACACCAAGCTCTTAATGCAAATGGTTACTGGGATTACAAAATTCGCAAAGCTATCACTCCAACCATGAAGAAGGACCTTCTTGAGGACCCATTAAAAACCATCACTTTACCCTACATTGCGGGGATCACAAAAAAATCTCCAAAATCTTGAATAAACACAAGATCCAGGTCCGATTCAACACATTACATAAACTCCGTGATCTGGTTCCATCTGTAAAAGATGTGATTCCGGACATACAGTACCCTGGCGTCTACAAACTAAGTTGCCTCTGTGGTAGTAGTTACATTGGAGAAACCAAACGACATGTCTCGGACCGCATCCGTGAACACAAAGCAGACCTAAAATACGGTAGGACCAACACCTCGGCCGTGGCAGATCACTGTTATAATTCAGTAGGTTCACATGACATTGACTTCTCCAAAAAAGAGGTTATTTGCAAGCCATCTGGCTACCATGAGAGATTTGTTCATGAGGCTATCCACATATACAAACACAGAGACAATTTCAACCAAGAAGACGGATTCTGGCTTAGCAATCATTGGAAGGATTAGACAAAGCATTTCGGGTCTTCATTGATTGTTCACGCTTTTGGTGGCTTTCAGACAGCATCCATTATTTTCGTCTCCCCCCTCCTCTTTTCCGAACATAGATGGACTCGTCCATCTGAACAAACTGCCAAATCGCTCTCCGTAGTGCTAACGTTAAAAAAACGCCACTTTTTCCAAATTTTCTTGCTGTAATTTTCAAACCTGATGACGATTGCTTGTGTTGCAGTCAAAACGTCGTGATAATTTTATTGTTTAACATGTTTTTATTATTATTGTTTCCCTTCTACGTGACTATATCGAAAGAACCAAGAATATCAATCCCTGTTGTCACGAAAACATTAAATCAAAATTTATATTGATGTAGTTTATATTTAGTTTTTTTATCACGTCGGTTTATTGCAAGGTAGATGGATAGCTGCATTTCTTTAGCATCAAGAAACCAAATGCCTCTGTTGATATGTAAACTTTGACTTTAACATAGCCACTTCCGTGACCAGTTACATGCTAATTCCTCACATTAACATCATGTTAATCTCCCAGTTACATGCTAATTTCTGACTTTAACATCCTGATAATCTCTCACATTAACACAGCTACTTCAATGCTAAATTCTTCTGTTTGATATGTAAACTCATTTGTCAAGGCGCTCTGCTCCTCCCACCCAGCTTAAAATACGCTGCCAAGCTTAGCAGTGTTCATTGGAGCGCTGTCTTTCCGACAGCCTCTGTTTCTTCACCTGAGGACGGCTGCTTCTGTTGTGGCTGAAACGTCGTGAGAATTTTATTTTATTATGTTTTATTTTCATTTTTAATTATTTCCCTTCTACGTGACTTTACCGAAATAACCAAGAAGATTAATCCCTGCAGTCACGAAAGCTTTAAATCGAAAGATTACGATAATGTTTATTACGGTGGTGGTGGTGGTGGTGATGATGGTCTGTCTCGTAACCTCCTGTCCATGAGCCTTTGACACTTTACGTGGCCTCTGAGTGCACCTAGCTTGGCACAAGCGCCGTGGCAATGTCAGCACCCCTAAGTGGCCAAAGGCGGCTCTTGTTGTTGATTATAGAATTGATGTTAATGTCGATGTCCTGTTTCTTGTCCCGCAGACTATAGCCATCATCACCTACACGGTACGTATTGATGCTCCTTCTGATGTTTGTCATCATATTTTTCATGCTGCTGATGTTGCTGATGATGATGTTGCAGCTGATAATTATTATTTTGCTGATGATGTCTCTACAGTTTAATCTCACCCGACCTCCTGGAGCCAGTTACTCAGATGCGTGTGAACCCGACCCAACGGTCAGTGGTGATTGTGATGATGGTGGTTGCTGTTATGGTGTTGATAATACTGATGATGGTGCTAGTGATGGTGATAGTGGTGATGGCTGCCGGTCGGTAACGTTGTGGTGGCTGTGAGCAATGCCATTGGTGGAGAGGCTGATAACAATCAGCCGTTCCCCTCATGGTGTCTCAGATTACTGTTGGTCTGCTTCATCAACAGTGCACAAGGGATAATGGTGGTGGTGGTTGCTTATGCCCCCCACAGAAAATGGACATCATTGTAGGGATGCAGGCGAGGCTGATGAGTCAGATGTCTTCTAGGATCTCCTGCCACATGTGCTAGCTAAAGTGGCCCCTCAGGATGGAGTCCTCCTGTTGTGTGACTTTAATACCCAAAAGGTCATGATCCAGACACCTGGATTGGCATAATTGGAAGGCATGGGTCAAATATGTTCAATAACAACAGCAGGAGGCTTCTAGACTTATGTGCACCCCATAAGTTTGTAATCACTAACACACTGTTCCGGCATTGACACATACACACAACATCATGGATGCACATCACGTCCAAGCAAGGACATCTGGTGGACTATATAGTGAAATAACAGCACATGGAGGCCCATTTACTTGACACCAGGACTTTCCATGGAGATGATCTGCCCACTGACCATTGGCTTGTCATCTGTAAGATGTGCCTGCCATTCTTCCACTGCGATGGTGAGCATCCATCTTGGACTCGTCCATCTGAACAAACTGCCAAATCGCTCTCCGTGGTGCTAACGTTAAAATAACCGCCACTTTTTTCAAATTTTCTTGCTGTGGTTTTCACACCTGATGACGATTGCTTGTGTTGCAGTCAAAACGTCGTGAGAATTTTATTGTTTTATATTTTTATTATTATTATTGTTTCCCTTCTACGTGACTTTACCGAAAGAACCAAGAATATGAATCCCTGTTGTCACCAAAGCTTTATATAAAAATGTATATTGACGTAGTTTATTCATAATAAAGGTTTTTGGGTTAGATCGCGTTTATTTATAAATGTGTCGTAACCCTCCACCACCCACCACAGTGAATTATTTCTCTTTTGTCAACGTGACACTTTTTTGCTGATTGGCCGTGTCGGGTGGTGGAGGGTTACGACACATTTATAAATAAACGCGATCTAACCCAAAAACCTTTATTATGAATAATATTGGTCGCGAAAGCCTACGTGTTAAACTGACGTAGTTTATATTTAGTTTTTTTCACGTCGGTTGATTGTATGGTAGTTGGATAGCTGCAGTTCTTTAGCATCAAGAAACTGAATGCCTCCGTTGATATGTAAACTCTGACTTTAACATGGCCACTTCCGTGACCAGTTACATGCTAATTCCTCACATTAACACCATGCTAATCTCCCAGTTACATGCTAATTTCTGACTTTAACATCCTGATAATCTCTCACATGAACACAGCTACTTCAATGCTAAATTCTTATGTTGAAATGTAAACTCCTTTGTCAAGGCGCTCTGCTCCTCCCACCCAGCTTAAAATACGCTGCCAAGCTTAGCAGTGTTCATTGGAGCGCTGTCTTTCCGACAGCCTCTGTTTCTTCACCTGAGGGCGGCTGCTTGTGTTGTGGCTGAAACGTCGTGAAAATTTTATTTTATTATGTTTTATTTTTAAATTACTTCCCTTCTACGTGACTTTACCGAAAGAACCAAGAAGATGAATCCCTGCAGTCACGAAAGATTTAAATCGAAAGATTACGATAATGTTTATTACGGTGTTAGTGGTGATGATGGTCTGTCTCGTAACCTCCTGTCCGTGAGCCTTTGACACTTTACATGGCCTCGGAGTGCACCTAGCTTGGCACAAGCGCCGTGGCGATGTCAGCACCCCTAAGTGGCCAAAGGCGGCTCTTGTTGTTGATTATAGAATTGATGTTAATGTCGATGTCCTGTTTCTTGTCCCGCAGATTATAGCCATCATCGCCTACAAGGTACGTATTGATGCTCCTTCTGATGTTTGTCATCATATTTTTCATGCTGCTGATGTTGCTGATGATGATGTTGCAGCTGATAATTATTATTTTGCTGATGATGTCTCTACAGTTTAATCTCATCCGACCTCCTGGAGCCAGCTACTCAGATGCGTGTGAACCCTACCCAACGGTCAGTGGTGATAGTGATGATGGTGGTTGCTGTTATGGTGTTGATAATACTGATGATGGTGCTAGTGATGGTGATAGTGGTAATGGCTGCCGGTCGGTAACGTTGTGGTGGCTGTGAGCAATGCCATTGGTGGAAAGGCTGATAACAATCAGCCATTCCCCTCATGGTGTCTCAGATTACTGTTGGTCTGCTTCATCAACAGTGCACAAGGGATAATGGTGGTGGTGGTTGCTTATGCCCACCACAAAAAATGGACATCAGTGTAGGGATGCAGGCGAGGCTGATGAGTCAGATGTCTTCTAGGATCTCCTGCCACATGTGCTAGCTAAAGTGGCCCCTCAGGATGGAGTCCTCCTGTTGTGTGACTTTAATACCCAAAAGGTCATGATCCAGACACCTGGATTGGCATAATTGGAAGGCATGGGTCAAATATGTTCAATAACAACAGCAGGAGGCTTCTAGACTTATGTGCACCCCATAAGTTTGTAATCACTAACACGCTGTTCCGCCATTGACACATCCACACAACATCATGGATGCACATCACGTCCAAGCAAGGACATCTGGTGGACTATATAGTGAAATAACAGCACATGGAGGCCCATTTACTTGACACCAGGACTTTCCATGGAGATGATCTGCCCACTGACCATTGGCTTGTCATCTGTAAAATGTGCCTGCCATTCTTCCACTGCGATGGTGAGCATCCATCTTGGACTCGTCCATCTGAACAAACTGCCAAATCGCTCTCCGTGGTGCTAACGTTAAAATAACCGCCACTTTTTTCAAATTTTCTTGCTGTGGTTTTCACACCTGATGACGATTGCTTGTGTTGCAGTCAAAACGTCGTGAGAATTTTATTGTTTTATATTTTTATTATTATTATTGTTTCCCTTCTACGTGACTTTACCGAAAGAACCAAGAATATGAATCCCTGTTGTCACCAAAGCTTTATATAAAAATGTATATTGACGTAGTTTATATTTAGTTTTTTTCACGTCGGTTGATTGTATGGTAGTTGGATAGCTGCAGTTCTTTAGCATCAAGAAACTGAATGCCTCCGTTGATATGTAAACTCTGACTTTAACATGGCCACTTCCGTGACCAGTTACATGCTAATTCCTCACATTAACATCATGCTAATCTCCCAGTTACATGCTAATATCTGACTTTAACATCCGGATAATCTCTCACATGAACACAGCTACTTCAATGCTAAATTCTTCTGTTGAAATGTAAACTCCTTTGTCAAGGCGCTCTGCTCCTCCCACCCAGCTTAAAATACGCTGCCAAGCTTAGCAGTGTTCATTGGAGCGCTGTCTTTCCGACAGCCTCTGTTTCTTCACCTGAGGACGGCTGCTTGTGTTGTGGCTGAAACGTCGTGAAAATTTTATTTTATTATGTTTTATTTTTATTTTTAAATTACTTCCCTTCTACGTGACTTTACCGAAAGAACCAAGAAGATGAATCCCTGCAGTCACGAAAGATTTAAATCGAAAGATTACGATAATGTTTATTACGGTGGTAGTGGTGATGATGGTCTGTCTCGTAACCTCCTGTCCGTGAGCCTTTGACACTTTACATGGCCTCGGAGTGCACCTAGCTTGGCACAAGCGCCGTGGCGATGTCAGCACCCCTAAGTGGCCAAAGGCGGCTCTTGTTGTTGATTATAGAATTGATGTTAATGTCGATGTCCTGTTTCTTGTCCCGCAGACTATAGCCATCATCACCTACAAGGTACGTATTGATGCTCCTTCTGATGTTTGTTATCATATTTTTCATGCTGCTGATGTTGCTGATGATGATGTTGCAGCTGATAATTATTATTTTGCTGATGATGTCTCTACAGTTTAATCTCACCCGACCTCTTGGAGCCAGCTACTCAGATGCGTGTGAACCCTACCCAACGGTCAGTGGTAATAGTGATGATGGTGGTTGCTGTTATGGTGTTGATAATACTGATGATGGTGCTAGTGATGGTAATAGTGGTGATGGCTGCCGGTCGGTAACGCTGTGGTGGCTGTAAGCAATGCCATTGGTGGAAAGGCTGATAACAATCAGCCATTCCCCTCATGGTGTCTCAGATTACTGTTGGTCTGCTTCATCAACAGTGCACAAGGGATAGTGGTGGTGGTGGTTGCTTATGCCCACCACAAAAAATGGACATCAGTGTAGGGATGCAGGCGAGGCTGATGAGTCAGATGTCTTCTAGGATCTCCTGCCACATGTGCTAGCTAAAGTGGCCCCTCAGGATGGAGTCCTCCTGTTGTGTGACTTTAATGCCCAAAAGGTCATGATCCAGACACCTGGATTGGCATAATTGGAAGGCATGGGTCAAATATGTTCAATAACAACAGCAGGAGGCTTCTAGACTTATGTGCACCCCATAAGTTTGTAATCACTAACACGCTGTTCCGGCATTGACACATCCACACAACATCATGGATGCACATCACGTCCAAGCAAGGACATCTGATGGACTATATAGTGAAAGAACAGCAGATGGAGGCCCATTTACTTGACACCAGGACTTTCCATGGAGATGATCTGCTCACTGACCATTGGCTTGTCATCTGTAAGATGTGCCTGCCATTCTTCCACTGCGATGGTGAGCGTCCATCTAGGACGCCATTCAAACCCACAGTGGCCTAGTCTCAGCTAGCTGATTAATGATAGATGCGAGGCACCCTGGCTGACAGAGGTGGTGTTTCGGCTGCCTGCGAGAAAACGACAGGCCGACTCCCACCGTCGACAGCATCACAAGTCAAAGAATGTGGAGGCTTACCCCAGCCTTCACCCAGAGGTTCAGAGAGTCGTGCTGTGCTGAATGTATGAGTCGTGGTTGCGGTTTCCTGAGGAGATGAAATCTGCTTCAGAAGCTTCCGATCATAAATCACTCTTTTCTTCCATCAAAAGTAACTTGCAATGCCATACATATTAACGTCCTTAAGGAAAATAGTGAACCAATTGCAGACCCCTAGGAACACGTTCGCAGGTTTTCCGAGCATTTCCGCAAGGTATTGGGGTAGGAAAATTCCCTCAGCACAGATTATATCACGGGGAAAATGTTTGGTTGACGCTGCTGGGGCTGCAGTGTGTCAAATATTGCAGGATGTAGCCATTCCTTGTGAGTGGCTGGCCGAGGTGGCATTTGTTGAGAAAGTACGAAGAGAGATCCAGAGTCGGAGAGCAGGAAAAGCACCGGGCAGAGATGACCTTACAAGCGAACTGCTGAGTGAGAGCATGGTGTTTGTGTGCAGACTGCCCTATAATCACAGCATTATAACAGTCTGACCACTGGGCAGGTTCCGCAGAATTGGAAGGATGCCCTGGTGGTCCCCCTCTTTAACAAGGGGGGGGGGGGGACCGTGCCAATTTCAATAACTAAGGGGGCATCTCCCTCCTTCGGGCGAGGCCGTGAAAGGTCCTGGGAAAGATTATTAAACATCGCCCCTTTGCCAGGCAACACGCTGTGTGGAAGCCACCTGCCTTATGACTCAATACAAAACTCCGGATCTTCTCGGTCAGTCATGCAGTCCCTTCTCGAAGATTCTGGGCTGGCCTGCCTACAATCCATCTAGGGGTTGAACTAGTCTAGATTTTGTGAGGAGCTCATAGTTGCTGGAAAGTGAGCTCCGGCAGGCGAGGCTTTACAGTGTTTATTTAACTTCTTTAGCACCATATGCAGTGAACCGTGCCAATTGCAGTGGTGTAGTGTATAGTCGCGCAGTATATAGCAGTGTAGTGTATAGTAGCATATATGTTGAACGTCTTTCGCGCCGTACATAGCCAACCGTGCAAAGCAGAGGTGCAGGGGAAGGTCAACCAACTGAACACAAAAAGCAGTTCGAAAGAAATTAGTTTTTGATCTCGATTATTTTAGAGTGCATAGCTCCATTGGTTTCCGCATATCGGAAGGAAGAGCATCACAGATGGCTACAGAAGCACATCTCAAAGCACGCGATGCAGTGACTGTGTGGGGGCTGACGCCCACCCCCCCATGAGCGGACGGGGCGCGACGTCCACCCCCTCCACTCCCCCCATCCTCGGCCTCCTCTCGCCGGGCCCCCGCTGATAGGGTGATCGCCCACCCCCCCCCCCCCCCGCTCTGAGGGACATCGCTCACTGGCTGGCTCACCACCGCCCTGGGATTATTACGCGTGCGCTAAATTGGCTCTCTCCTTCCCCCTCATATCCTCTCAGAGCCCGTTAATCCTCGGGTGACATGTCATCCTGCGCGGCCAAACTAGCGCTTTACTTGCCGAGTTTTGAACGCTCTGGCCGTTGGGGGGGGGGGGGGGTCATCACGTCATCCCCCCCCTCTTCCCCCCATTTTCATTGTCCCCATATCTGCGTTCCTCATCTCTGATTCACTGGTAATTTCCTGGGATTTTCCCCCCACCCCACTGTTTGCACTGCCCCTATCTCCCGTGTCGTGTATGCTTCATCGCGGCCAGCCTGTAATGCTCTCTGCGCCCCTATGACTTTAAAAAGTTGATTTTAAGGGGGCCACCATGTAATCCGGCATGGGGGGGGTTGGACAATCTCCTGGCAACGGGAAACCGGGGGACATCCCTGCTAGGGGCCCTTTGGATGAAAACCCGTGGGCCAGGCACCCCCCTTCGAGACCCTATGTGGGTGCATGTATGTGAAGGAGGCTCGTGAAGGACACTACTGGTCAGCTAGGGGCAGTCCCCCTCCAGAAACATTGAAGGTCGGAGAAGCGACGCTTACAGCAACGAGCGGAGCGCTGGGAGGCTAAAACGCAGTGGGGAGCACAGGTGGTGGTGCATCTGTTTGTCAACCAATGGCCCCCGGATTTATCTATCCCATGACCTCATATCACAACACGTCACGTGGCCTCAAGGTGCACCGAGCCTGGCACAACGCCATGGTGATGTCATTGCCACTTAGTGACAGACGATGGTTGTTGTTTTTTGTCGTTGGTTGTGATGGTGGTGAGTGGTGATGTTGTTGCTGGGGCTGATGATAATGGTGGTGGCAATTACAGCAACGATGATGATGCGAGATGTTAACTACCTCGCCTCGTATACAGGAGTTCGTGGGTTTGATCCTGATCCTGAGGCCTGCTGTATATATGGAGTTTGCGTGTCTCTCTGCCCGTGGTGGTCGCGTGGATTTTTCTCTGGGTCTTGCGGTTTTTCCCTCCACATTTAGAATCAACGTCACCATGCGTTTGAGTATTTGGCTGGTTTACATTTCCACACGACGATGATGATCAGACAATTCGTTGAGCTATATAACTCAGTGGGCTTTATTTGTAAAATAAAAAATAGTAAAAAAATAATGAAGTTTTCAATATCGCTGATGATTGAGGTTACTGATGATGCTGATTATGCTGTTTTTGCAGGATACCACAGTCCCTCAGAATACAGTGAGTAGAAGAACGTTGTACACATCCCATCAGCACATGCACGCACACTACACACGCATGGACCTTTCCCTCTAAGAATTCATCTCACCGAGAGCATGGGTTTAGCACATCCCATTTGCATGGTTTGCTACGTACGGTGCGAAAGCAGTTGAACATACACACAGCCATACACACTACACTAGACTATACACTACACTATGATACACTATGCTATTGTGAGGGCTGCTCTTTTTTTGTATTTAGATTGGAGAGGGATTTGGCTCCATTCTCTCTCCCATGCAATTCCCTCAAGGGCACCAATGTGGACTTGTGAACATACTTTAATGGCGGCATACAATAACGCAGTCCGGAATACAGTCTTACCAAGATTTTGTTTTTGTTCAAAGACGCGAATCAAACACTGGCGGAAAATAACTTCCCGCATGTGCAATGTTTCTCCAATCTTAATGTTCACTTTAGTAAAATATTAACTTTACATGTAATATATTGTACATTCTTTTTCATTGCTGTATTTATAATGTTTACACGACCTGTTGCAAATGTTGTCTTTTAAATTTTACAGTTTTTCTGTTTTGTTGATGAAACCCGATTCAAGGGCTTCTTAGCTCACAGGGCAATTAAAAAAAACTGTTCAACTATACACAATGCCAATCGCGGTGACAACTTCAGAACAATCAGAACAATTCTCGCATAGTGTACCCGCGTGTCAAAAAATACTGAAGGCCGAATAGAACCGACTCATTGAAACTCGAACACGCGGCTACGAATCGCCCCCGTGTGGTGACAGTAACAGAGCACCGTGGTAATAAAGCATACAAAAAACACGACGACCGTTCGTACACACCTCGTACATTCCAGTCTCGGATAAAGCGAAAAAGCAGCATGAATCAGCATAAATACACGAATCTGCAGTCAGGATCGCGTGCAGCCTCAAGGATTCCCAGGACCCAACTGGAGTATCTTGTTTTGCATTTACAATTGCATTCTTGAAGCATCCACTCAAAAGACGGCCTTTGCACTTGGTAGAAGCCTGCAACCACACGTTGAACAAATCTGCACAGCTGCAGTCGTGGTTATGAAGTTGAGACTCCACGCCACAACAGTCCAGGGACCCGGCCGGCTCCTCTATCCCCACATTGAACAACTCAACAGGGCTGCAGCCTGGGACTCGGAAGTTATACCTGGTTTCTCTTGGAGTCCCGTGGACGTGGTGATCGTAGGTCGTCGTCTTCCCCCGTACTCCAGTGGTGCCCGCTGAAGTCGGCAAATGTAGTCCCACCTTCACAGCCTCTCTCCCTCCCTAGCAGTCAATCCACCGCCTCTTGCCTGGTAGTAGACGTTCGTCTCTTGCCTTTGGAATTATTTCAATCAACTTGGCACGTGCAGCGTCCTCCAATCGAAACCTCGAAAATTCGGTGTACTGTGTTTAGGCTTTTTAGTGGCAACACCTGCCGCCAATTAAAACCAGACGGAACGGCACCGTTGCTTCCAGAAGTTGGGGTTTTTGGGGGATTCTCCCCCCTCACTACTCACCTCATGTAACCTCAGCCACCTCGGCTCTCCACTGCGCAACACCACTGGGCCACACCGTTATATTCCACCCCCTTCAAACCAGCCCCTCCACTCCACAAGTGTTTGTCCCGACCAGACCAGGCAGGGTGGCTGTGCATATGGCGCATACCAGACATGAATCACTTCCCCCCGGGGGCTGTGGCGATGTTTTTACGTTCGGCACCCATACTAGTGTAATGACTCTCAGACAACACAAACTGTATAGGGTTCTTTTATTTAATATAGTAGGGCGCTTAAAGCGCATAACTTGGTCAGGGATGACGCGCAGATAATTTGGGCCAGGTATGGCATGCTAATCGCGACGAGGCAGAGACATCGACGATATGCAGACTGCAACGACAGCGACGATGTTAAGACAGTCGACCCTGATCCCACGGCAGCCCCGAACCTTGCCTCTCCTCTCCTTTAATCCCCAAGGTGGCCCTCACTACGCCCCCGACCACGCCCCCTTTCTCGAACTCTCTAGCCCGTTCCTGAACTTCCCAGATGGTTCCGCTCTGTAATATCCCCTCGTGACCACCCGACCATGCAATGTCCCTGCACCCACACGAACAAGGACGGCTATACCGTGAAAGTTTCTTATAAAAACTTTCTCCGTCATTAGGCCTCTGAACAAAGGGAGTTGCTAATGTCACTTTCTTCTGAACATACTTTGAAGATTAAGCCTCCTGATAGAATTAATACCCCACCTTGGTGAATGAAGCATTAATTATATCAATCAGTTAAATTAAGAACCCCCCTTTACCTAATGTAACCGCAGCTACCTCGACTCACCTCTGAAACATAGCGCTCGCCCACACCATTCCAACTATTATACACAACACTACTCTACACTACTGTACACTACGCCGCTATACACTACGCGACTATATACACTACACTCTATTTAACTATGGAATGAGACCATGTGTTCTTCATTCAAGGGTGGGAAAAACCCGATTTTTTTTTGCCCGACAAATCGGGTTATTGGTTTTAATGGAATTCAACCCAATTTTGCCGATAATAAAAGCTGGTTTAATTATCAGCGTCTCGTGCACACTTCAATCCTGCTCCTCGTCGTCGTCCACCGCCGCGTCGTCTTCGTCGTCGCTCTCGCCGCTGGACTTGGGCGTTGTCGCCGTCGTCGGGCGTCGGGTAGTCCAAGAACGCGTTGAGGTTCGACTTAATGAAGACGAGCTTCTCGACTGCGTTGGACGCCAGGCTGTTCCTCAACTTTGGAATGGATAAATTCCATCGTCGAGAAGTTTCGCTCAGACGCAGCAGCGGTCGATGTGGCCATGCCGCCATGCGCGTGACTCACGCGCATGGCAGCTGAGCCCGGGCCCCGGCCCGAACACCGCTATTGGGTGCGTGCAACTGAAATCCCGACTTAACTTTAAGAAAACCGAAAAAAACGGATTTGGGCAGGATCCAGGTGCTCCGGTTTTATATAAAAACCGATTAAAACCCGAATGAATAAAACCGGGCCGTGCCAGACTTGACACAAACAGTGACACACCCCCCTCCCCCCCATCATCATCATCATCGTGCTGCTTGCTGTGAAATCCCCCAATGGTTGTTCCTAAACGTCTTGTCGGCAGTCCCACTCCACCCCCATGAAATGAATTAGTGAAAAAACACTGAAGGAGAGCAGCGATGATCCACTCACTAACTCCGCTTGCTCCTGACGAGGTTTTCCTGGCTTTGACCACCTGAATGTGACGTTGTACAAAAGAGGAAGAAGCGCCAATGAAGGCCGCTACTGTGGCACACGAGGGGTTGGGTGGTCAGGATCACACACGCCCGACCGCTTTTGTCTCCCCAGTGATGATCATGCTGCTGACGATGATGATGATGATGTTGATGACGATGTTACTAATGAGGACGATGATGTTGTTTTTGGAGATAACGACGGCTCGACCTACAATGAGTAGAATAATATTGTACACATCTCATCAGCACCCACACACTACACGCGGACGGACTTTCCCCTCCAATTGGCTACGTACGGTGTGAAAGAAGTTAACCATTCTAAACTCTCCTTAACTCTCTCCGAACTCAATTTAGAAAAGTCTCCGCACGCTCTCTCCCCGCGTCTCCCCCCCCCCCCCCCCGCGTCTCCCCCCCCCCCCCCCCACGTCTCCCCTGTCCCAGACCTCCTCGCCGAGCTCTGCCCTGGGAATCGGCGTGGGAGTCGGGGTGGGAGCCGGGGCTCTGCTCATCCTCGTCATCACGCTCGGCGTCTGCTACTGGAAGCGACGCAATGAGGTGAGCATTGGTAATGAAAGACCTCATCATCACATCATGGTCATGATCATGATCATCATCGTCATCATCGTCATCATCACCAACACCAAGAGGTTCTCACAGCTCATGTCACTCATTGTCTCACCAACTCACCATGTCACTCACTGTCTCACCAACTCACTCGCTATCCACTCACCATGTCACTCACTGTCTCACCAACTCACTCGCTATCCACTCACCATGTCACTCACTGTCTCACCAACTCACTCGCTATCCACTCACCATGTCACTCACTGTCTCACCAACTCACTCGCTATCCACTCACCATGTCACTCACTGTCTCACCAACTCACTCGCTATCCACTCACCATGTCACTCATTGTCTCACCAACTCACTCGCTATCCACTCACCATGTCACTCACTGTCTCACCAACTCACTCGCTATCCACTCACCATGTCACTCATTGTCTCACCAACTCACTCGCTATCCACTCACCATGACACACACTGTCTCACCAACTCACTCGCTATCCACTCACAATGTCACTCACTGTCTCACCAACTCACTCGCTATCCACTCACCATGTCACTCACTGTCTCACCAACTCACTCGCCATCCACTCACCATGTCACTCATTGTCTCACCAACTCACCCGCTATCCACTCACAATGTCACTCATTGTCTCACCAACTCACTCGCTAACCACTCTCTCACCAATGCACCCACAAATAAATCGATCACTAACTCGTTAACTATTCTCTCTCAACGACCTGCTCACTATTCAAGATCACATTCTTACTACTCCATCTTTAACTAACTCACCCACTCTTCAATCTCTCGTCGACTCACTCACCGACTCACTCACCAAACTCACTCCCTATTCACTATCTCACAAACCCCTCCTCCGCCTCCCACCCTCCCCCTCTACTCTCTCCTCTCCTGCTCCAGCCCCTCGCCCTACAGAAGGGTCCAAACGCCTCTGCTACAGAGGATCGCTTACGATACATGCAAGGTCCAGGAGTCCAGGGCCAACTGCCGGTGAGCCTACCCATGGACACGGCCAATGTCAACCCATAATCCACCAACATGGCCATCGTGAATCCACCAAATCACGTACACGGCCATCATAACACCACCAAACCATGTACACGGCTATCTTGAACTTATACACTTACCGATATGACCATGGTGAACCCACCAAACGACGTGGCCATCTTGAACCCCACCAAAGGACACAGCCATCGTGAACCCATCCACCGACACAGCCATCGTGAACCCACCTAGCGATATGGACGTTGTGAACCCACCAACCTACACGGATATCGCAAACACACCAACAGACATGGCCATTGCGAACCCACCGTCACGTTTCCTATCCACGAGGACTGACGGTTTGGGGTGTATTGAGTCGAACTGGTGTTAGACCACTCATATACCTGGCTGTTAGGGATGTCAGCTTTTATTTCTACATGATATGACACCAACAATTCCAAGCAGAGGAGGTATACCCTGGTAGCAGGCTACCACAAAGAAAATAAAACGAGTAGAATAAAACAGAAAACCACCCACAAACATCCAACCACACCCAATGTTCCTAACGCGTTCCTGAGACTCACACAGAAGCTTTGGGAGAGGGGGCTCATACACCTCCCTACTCCCCCACAGACAACTCTGCTTTACAGACGGGCCCGTGTTCCCTCCCACACAGCCATTGCGAACCCACCCACTGATATGTTCTCTGTGTTCATCACATCTGCCTGATTAACTCATTCACACACCCACTGACCCACTCACTGACTCACCCACCCATTCACTTACCCATTCACTCACTCTGCCACTCACTCTCCCACTCATTTATTCACACACTCGCTCCCCCTCTCCCTGATCCACCCATTCACTTAATTTCAAACCCACTCACTCACCGACTCACTCACACACTCGGTCAACCTCTCACCTAATCACTCATTCACCCACTCACTCACGCATTGACTCACACACTCATTCATGTGTAGTGGGTTCTTCATACGCAGTAGACGGATAGTTGAGGCAACACTTACATATTATAACACCAACGCATTAACACCACAACGCGTTCTAACAGGAAGGGTAACGGCCCTTCCACCCGCTAGCTAAGGGGATACACTTCTCCACGGAACTCGCCCTATCCTTAAGCTATGGTCTCGGGCTAGTCTGACCTAACCCCACACAGGTGCAGGTCTCGACCAATGGTTACACAGATCCGGCCCTGACAAGGGCTGCGGGTCAGACGAGTCCAGGGTCCTAGGCTAGCCGGCCTTTTGTCTTCAACTGTTTATTCTGTCTTCGCTGGCAGCACTGCGCAACTCTCTCGAGCTCCTGCCTTTTATACATCTCCCCACCGAAGGGCGGGGTTCTGTGGGATCCCAGGACACCCTGCAGCTCCCACCCGTTGAGAGGGGCACGGGGGATCCAAACCCCCCACAGCCCCCTCCCCCCCGGGAGGGGCCCCGGGCTAGGGATATCGTGATTACCCCCTACAGGTCAGCATTGGGCGCTAACCGGGGATGGTGCACGTTCATCCAACAACACCATTACACATGCATCCACCCACATGGCCATTGAATCTGATCTCTGTGTTCATCACAGGTGCCGGTTGGACGGCCTGGTATGAAGTTGCAGCAGGAGGTACAATCAGCACTATCATCATCATCAACAGTGACAATCCATAACATAGTTTTTTTTTATTCGATCGCGTGAACACAAATGTGTCGTTAAACCTGCCACCACTTGACACAGCCAATTAGTAAGGGTTGTTACATGAACAGAACATGCCAGTTCCTTACTAGTACAGCACACCGGGGTGTACGTGACAAACCCTTTCTAAAATGGCTGTCGGGTGGTGTCGAGTTTAATGACACATTTATATATTTATGCGATCTAAACCAAAAAAACTATGTTATGGTTGATCTTGGTCACCCACCCACTCAATTACCCACTCTCTAACTCGCCCCCTCACTCACCCCACTCACTCACCCACCCACATACATACTCACCCACTCACTCACCCACCCACACACCCACTCACTCACCCACTCAACAACAACTGCCATTTGCCACTAAGTGGTGGTGACATCACCACAGCTCATGTGCCAGGCTATGTGCACTTTAATGCCACGTGAATCGTCGAATGCCCGCTGGCAGATCATGGGACAGACCCAGGTGCCATGGTTTACTGACAACGATGACTGGCTGATGCACCAACTGTGCCCCCTACTGTGCATTTTAGCCGCCCAGCACTCTGATTGTTGTGAGCGTCGCTCCTCTGCCCTCCGTTTTTGCTGGAGGGTGACTGCCTCCAACTGACCAGTAGCATCCTTCATGAGCCTCCTCCACAGAGGCCGATCTTGACACCAGTCGACAAGTCCAGTTAGCTCTACATTCTCTTGTACCACATCACTCCATCTCTTCTCTAGCCCATGCCACGCCCGTTTAGTCTATCAGGACCAACAAAAGCTGTTCAGGCATCCGGTGGCTGGGCATGCGGGCTACATGACCCAGCCAACGCAGTCTTGCCTGCCAGAGGAACTCACTGATGGCACTTTGTCCAGAACTTTCAAGGATTTGTTAGCTCCTCATACAATCCAGCCACGTTAAACCCAGCATGGATCACAGGCAGGCCAACCTAAATGTTTATAATTGGAAAAGATGTTCCATTAGGGTCCACATTTCACAAGTGTAGAGAATGGAGGGCATAACCATGGCCGAGAAGACCCGAAGCTTTGTGTGGAGGGAAAGACCAGGTAGCTTCGACACAGCGTTACGCAGCCGATGAATAGATAATGCCACTCTCCTGATTCGATGTAAGTCCTCTGTTGTCAAACTGAGCACACTGCCCAGGTATGGGAAACTTTCCACTGCACAACTGCCCCGTCACCAATTGGGAGTTGTGGGGGTGGAGTGTCTGATGGTTCATAATACCCAGGAAGGTGCTCCAGGCCCAGCAGTAGCACCTCTAACTCCTTTTCTCATCCATGGAAAGATTATCGAACTGTGTGCTCGAAAAATATGATAAATAATGTAGGCGCAAGTAGACATTGCTGTCACACCCCAAGGTGAAGAGGGAATGGCTCCGACTGCCGGCCATGTAGCTTTATCCGGTCCTTTAATGATTGTGAGCAGAGAGTCAGGGGCAAGATACTCTTTGGTTCTTTCGGTAAAGTCACATAGGTGAAAAAATAAAAAAATACATATAAAAAATAAAAATATAAAAATAAAAATAAATCAATCATGACGTTTCGATTGCAACACAAGCAATCATCGTCAGGTGTGATAACCACAGCAAGGAATTTTTTACTGAAGTGGGAGAGAGACCTGGGTTAGAGCAGTTAAATAAGTCAGAGAGGGGGAGGGTAGGGGGGCGGGGGTGAATGGTCCGAGGGGTGCGTAAACTGCAGGTACAGCAGAGACGCTGAGAGTAAAAGGACAACATGATCGTTGCCAAGATAGATGATGACATCGAAAGCCGCACTGCTAAACGCCAAGGATGCAATTAACTCGGTAAGATAAGACTTATACCCGGTAAATTAGATGTAACAACTATGGTTAATAACATATTTCCAATGATTGCTCAATTTATATCCGTCCTCTCGGTTGAAGTTATGTCTATGTTTATATATCTGGATGGCTTCATGAACAAATCTTTGATGGTAGCCAGACGGCTTGCAGAGCACCTTGGTCTCGGAGAAAACAATATCATGGGAGCCCACAGCGTTATAGCAATGATCAGCAACGGCTGAGGAATTAGTTCTGCTGTCACGAAAACTTCAAATCTAGAATGAAGTCAGGGACTAGGCCTATTGATAGTGTCATGGGCCTTGGCCAGGTCAATCAACCAGAGATATGGGTCCTGCTGGATATCCCTACACCTCTGCTTTAGCAGACGGACAGAAAATATGGCATTTTTGCAGGACTGCCCTGGCCTCCATCCACATTGCGGCTCCCCAAGGCTCTGCTCAACGTGCCTGCAAGGCGATGTTCAATAATCCTTGCCAGGACCTTTCCCGGCACACTGAGCATTGAGATGCCCCTGAATGTTTGGTCCCCCTTCTTAAATAGGGGGACTACCAGGGCATCCTTCCAATCTTGTGGATCCCATCCAGTGGTCCAGGCTGTGATTATGATGACATAAAAGGCAGTCTGCAAACAAACACCACCTTCCCTCATCAGTTTGCTTGGAAGATCCTCTGCCCGGCGATTTTCCTGGTCTAAGACTCTGGATCACCTTCCGTACTTCCTCAACAGATGGCATCTCAACCACTCACAGAGAGTGGCGACTTCCTCTAATATTGGAGGCACGGCAGCCTCAGCAGGGTCATCCCCACCTTGCCTCATGATGTTTTCTGGGCTGAGGGATTTTACCTCCCACAAGACCTCACCGATATTCTCAGCAAATCTGCACAACTGTGCCCGTGGTCAGAAATCGGATGAACTTTCTGTTCTATAAGGATGGTTATAAGTGTGCTGCTGCAAGTAACTTTTCTTTATGGACATCAAAGAGTGATTTGTGATCACTGGCTACTGAGGCAGACACCATCTTCTCAGAAAATCAGCAACCCGCGACCACCACCCATCCTTGCAGTGCCACAAGGCTCTCCGAACTTCTGAGCGAAGGCTGCTATAAGCCTCATTCTCTGACATGGGATGCTTTAGGCAGTGGGGGTGGGTCAGTCGCTTTTTTCTCAGCCACCCCAAACCCCTCCTTTGTCACCCAGGATCTCTGGAGATGTCTGGGCCCTGTACCCAATGCAGCTATTTCCGCTGCATGAGCCAAAGTCCTGAAACTCACCCATTTCCCTTCTGCTTAGGGGGGAGGGGGGCGATGCCAAACTCAGCTGCAAGCGATGATGAAATTCTCACTTTCAACTTTCATCAGCTAGCTGAGACCAGGCCACTATGGGTTTTAATGGGGTTCTAGATGGACACCCACCACTAGAATGGAAGATTGGCAGGCGCATCTTACAGATGACAACCCGATGGTAAGTGGGAAGATCAGCTCCATGGTAGGTCCTGGTGTCAAGGACATGGGCTTGCATCCACTGTTCCGTCACAATATATTCCAGCAGATGTTCTTGCTTGGACCTGGCGCGCATCCATGATGTTGTGTGGATGTGCCGATGCCGGAACAGCGTGTTGGTAATTTAAAGCCCATGGACTGAACATAATTATAGCAGCCTCCTACCACTGTTGTTTCGCGTATCTGGCCTATGTCTTCCAATCACTCCAGCCTAAGTTCCAGCATCATGACCCACTTGGGCATTATAGTCACCCAACAGGATATATTTATCCCGAGGGACCACTTTAGGTAGCAGCTCTGACAGGTCATAGAAGGCATCTCACTCCTCAGCCTTGCCTGCATCCCTCCACTGATGTTCATCTCTGGTAGGGGCGTAAGCAACGACCACCACCATTCCTTGTCTGCCGTTGATGGGGAGGTTAGCCACAGCAGCCTGGGGCTTACAGCTTCCCACACTTCACTGCCACGCTCCCAAGCCCCTTTAATTGTTTTGTTCAGAAGAAGAGCCACTCCCTGTTGTTTAGTAGTCTCCTGCCCCGAGTTGAGGACTATCCACCCCTCATGATAACTGGAGCCAGAACCGGTCCACCAGACCTCAAGATTGCCACAGAAATCCAGGCGGTACCGGTCCAGCTCCCAACAGAGGAGTGGCAGCCTCTCCTCCGCAGTGAGCATTCGAACTTTGCACGTGGCTATTTCTGGAGGAACCCTGATTGTAAGAATTCAGTCTCCTGGCTCTGCCAATGTGGTTTGGCCAGGAGACGTCATTGATGCCTGTCCCCCCAGGGCCTCCAGCGCAAGCTTAGTTCGATATTTTACGTATTTTATAATTAAATTGAAGGTGGAGGGGTTAGCAGCCCTGCGTACATATCCAGAGCCCCTTTCGGCAGCCATGGTGCCTACAAATGCCACGAGGGGAATAGCCAATTTGAATTGGCCTTCCCCCCCCATGACATTGTTCACCACAGAGTTACCGTCCGGCACCACTGAAGAGGTATGGGTTTTTTTTGCGGGACTCACTCACTCACCCAATCATTCAACCACCCACCAACTCACTCACCCTCTCATTCACTTACACACTATTTCACCCACCCACACGGCCATTTAACCTGAGATCTGTATTCATCACAGGTGCATGAACTGCCTGGTATAAGGTTTCAGCGGGAGGCGATGAAGGTACAATCAGCATCATTATCAACACCAGTGGCAATGTCACACCCATTTCCTCATCCACTCACCCACTCTTTAAACCACTCACTCATTCACTCACTTGCCCACCCACTCATTGACTCATGCACTCACTGGCCCACTCATTCACTCACCCACTCATTAAACAACTCACCCATTAAATTACCCACTCTCCCACTCACACAACCACTCATTCACTTACCCAAACACTCACTCATTCACTTACTCACTCATTCACTTACCCACTCACTCACCTACTCTGTCACTCACTCAACTACTCTGCTCAGCCTCAAATGAGTAACTGGTGCATATGAACATCAGCAAAGGGGACAAAAAGGCAGACGGCCATGATGTTGGCCACCCACCCCCTCGTTTTGCTGTTCCGGCCTTCTTCATAGCCATTACTCGCTAACAGGGCTTGCCCAAACAGTCTGTTAAGGCTATAAAGTGGATCTTTGTCTTTGTAAGTAAGTGTTTTGAACTTCTTTCGCACCGTACGTAGACAACCGCGCTAATCGGAGGTGCCGGGGATGTAGGACAACAAACTAAAACACAACGACAAGCAGTTCTAACGAAAGTTACGCCAATCTAGATGATGATTTAAATGTACGGAGCCCCAGTGGCTTCCTAACATATCGGAAGAGCATTCCAGGTGGCCGCAGGAGCGCCATACGACGCGGTGACCACCGTCTTTGTTCGACGCTTAGCCAAAAACTGCTGCTGCTGCTGCTGCTACGAGAAGTGATCGTAGTTCGTGCGATGATGATGATGATGGTGGTGATTGGTGATGGTGATGATGATGGTTTATTGCTCCTTGAAACTATACGGGGAACGTTACATTTACCCACGTGACTCGAGCCCTCTCTTCCCCCCAACAGGGTAATGCAGATGAAATCTACGAAGAGGTGAGACCCACGTAGAGACTCGCGGAGAGAGCCAAGTCTCCACAACGTTTCCTTTTCTCATTGTGCCTCCCCCTATCTCCAAACCGATCATCTCCCCCTCCCCTCCTTGTATCTCTCTCATCTCTTTCACCACCTCTCTCTCGATGTCTCCTCTCTCTATCTTGTATCTATGTATCTCTCTCATCTCTTCCACCCCTCTTTGTATCTCTCTCTTTCATCTCCTCTACTTCTCTATCTCTTCACCTCTCTCTCTCTCATCTCCCTCACCTCTATCTCTCATCTCTCTCTCATCTCTCTATCTCTCTCGCATATCTACTGTATATCTCTCATCACCTCCATATCTCTCTCTCTATTACTATCTCTCTATATATTTAATCTCCTCCCCTCCACGTCTCTCCACCTCTCTCTATCATCTCCAGCTGGACGATGAGGGCAGAGCCCACAAGAAGGATCGTTGCTACCAAAACTTCAAGGCTCAGGTTCAGCACTCGCCGTCGCCCTACGAATGCCCGGACTCGCAGTTGGACAGCGACACCACCAAGCCAGGGGTGGAGAGCCCGTACGTGGATCTTACCGTTCAGTGAGCTGTGAGGCGTGAGGAGGAGGTGTGAGGAGGAGCAGGGCGGTTGAGGAGTAAGAAGGGAGAAGAGCTACAGATTCACAAAGAGACACACAGACTCGTTACAGAGACCCATAGACTAATCACACAGACCTACAGACTCGCCATACAGAGACCCACAGACTCACCACAGAGACCCACATACTCACCACGCAAAGACCCACAGACTCATCACAGAGTCCCATAGACTCATCACACAGAGACCCATAGACTCATCACACAGAGACCCACAGACTCATCACAGAGACCCATAGACTCAACACACAGACCTACAGACTCGCCATACAGAGACCCACAGACTCACCACAGAGACCCACAAACTCACCACGCAGAGACCCACTGACTAACCACACAGAGACCCATAGACTCATCACACAGAGACACACAGACTCATCACAGAGACCCATAGACTCATCACACAGACCTACAGACTCGCCAAACAGATACCCACAGACTCACCACAGAGACCCACAAACTCACCACGCAGAGACCCACTGACTAACCACACAGAGACCCATAGACTCATCACACAGAGACCCACAGACTCATCACAGAGACCCATAGACTCATCACACAGACCCACAGACTCACCACGCAGAGACACAGACTCATCACACAGATACGCATAGACTCAGAAAGAGACCCACAGACTCATCACACAGAGACCCACAGACTTATCACACAGAGACCCACAATCTCACACAGACTCCCACAAAGACCCACAGACTCATCACACAGAAACTCATAATCTCAAACAGACTCGCACAGAGACCAATAGACTTATCACACAGAGACCCACAATCTCACAAAGACTCCCAAAAAGACTCAAAGACTCACATAGAACCGACTGATTTTTGTTAACTGCCAGCAGATGTTCATAAGCAACGGCTGGTTTTGCGACATGCATTGCGCTATGCAGTCACTCATTGGGGTTGCATGTAACCTTATGTATCATGTCTTGGGGTTTAAATCGAATGTTTAACTTTAAGGTTTGCCCCCCCTCCCCCCCGCACAACCCTCGGCTCGAGGGTCAAGAGGAGGAAGGATAGAAGGAGGAGGAGCGGGAGGGGTGGAGGCTTACAAGGGGAATATATATACGTGTATTTACTCGCTCACCGAATCGCTCACTTAGTAACTCACCCACCCACTCACCCACCCAGCTACCCTATCACCCATGCACCTACCCACACACCCATTTACTCAACTACTCACCCACCATATTACCAACACACTCACTCAACCACTGATCTACTTACTCACCTACTCACCAACCTATTCACTCACCCACCCACTCACCCACCGACTTCCTCACTAAACTAAACTTAATATTTTACAAGGTAAGACCTACTGATATATAGTGGCTAATCACGTGGAAATGTATAGTAGCTAAATACTCTTAATTAATGTTGATTCTAAATATGGAGGGAAAAAATTGGAGGAGCCGGAGAAAAATCCATTCAACCAGGTCGAGAGATATTTAAACTCAAAATATAAAGCAGGCGTCACAGTTGGAATCGAACCCACAACCTCCTACATACCATGCGAGGTAGTTAACATCTGATGGTCACTGCGGCGTCCCCACTCACCCCCTCATTCAAAGGAAAAGTGTACAGAAGGCAACGTTTCAGGCAATGACCCTTCTTCATCGCACACACGGACAGAGAGGCAAGCAGTGCCAGTGAGTCTATGAAAACCACAGTGATACATAATGAATGCACTCACTTTCTGTCTGTTTATCTTCAATTAATGCACTAATTTCCTATCTCTCAATCCTCAATTCATACACCCACTTCCCATATATAAATCCTCAATGTATTCACCCACTTTCTGTCTCTCAATCATCGTTAATTTATTTGGGAATTGGCGCATCGCCTGCGTGCCCTGAAGAAAACCTTGCCTGTCAGCTGCTGCTAGTGATGGTGGTGATGGTTATTAATATCGTGGAGGCTTCTCGACTATTATTTAAACAGCGGCAGTGGAGCGGTTAGCTTGCTGTGCTACAAATTTGGCGGCCCGTGTCCGATTCCCTCTCACAGCCAACACCAGTGAAAATTACATGAACAGGTCCTGGACCTCCCCTAGGTCGGTTTAGCCTCAAATGAGTACCTGGTGTGGTGTGTAAACATCGCCACTTGGGATACAAACGCGACCAGGCGTGGTGCTGGCCACCAGCATAGGTGCTCGCTAACAGCACTTTCCCCAACAGCCTGTTAATGTTTTACGAGGGATATTTGTCTTTGGTGATGGTGGTGGTGATAGTGGTGATTAATATCATGAGGCTTCTCGACTGTAAATTAAACATATTACCGGTGATGGTGACATTGGTTGTGGTGGTAGTTGTGAAGATGGTGGTGATGATCGGTCGCTCCACACAAAACTTTGGGTCTCATCGGCCACAGTCATGCACTCTCTACTCTACGCTTGCGAAACGTGGACCCCTCGAATGGAACATCTGTGCCGGTTAGATACATTCAGGCTGGCCTGTCTACGATCCATCCTGGGTTTAACCTGCAGGATGGATTGTTTGAGGAGCTCACAAATCCTTGAACGATCTGAATACAGTCCCATTGGTGATCTCCTCCGGCAAGCAAAGCTGTGTTGGCTGGGTCACGTATCCTGCATGCCCAGCCACCACATGCCCAAACAGCTTTTATTTGGCCGGATAGAGGGGGTTACATGGGTGCAATACATAAGAGATGGACTCATGTGGTACAGGATGATATGAAGCTGCGTGGACAAAATCAGCCTCTGCGGAGGAGGCTCGTGAAGGACGCTGATGGGGAGTTTGATGTAGTCGCCCTCAAGCAATAGCAGAGGGCAGAGGAGCACCAGCGAAACGTCACAGTACTCAAGTTGTAAATGTTGCGGGTTTACTCTCCAACATACCGGTTAGTGCTGAAGTCGTAACTCATTGGCTACGATTTGTTTACGTGACAAACCCTAATTGGCTGTGTCGGGTGGTCGTGTGTTAACGACACATTTATATTTACGTGATCTAACCAAAAATCACTTTTATTTAGGATAATATTGGTCATGAAAGCCCCTGCTATTTACTACTACTACGTGTTAAACATTCCTTATTACATTCAGTCACACGGTCTGTCTGACGGTTACCGAGAGGACGGAACACGGACAAGCAAGCTCGCCTCAATAGTACCACAAGTCTGGCAAAGTCGTCGATTTCGGGGGAATTCCTCATGGTGGAGGTGCACCAGGGAAACAGTGGAAAATCAACAACAGTGGCAATGTCCCCACAGAGCAATGCCAGGCCACGGAGTTCCAGTCTAAGGTCCTTTCAGTTCCTCGCTCTCTGTAGAACAGGAGTTGCCAGGGTACAGGAGCAGGGTGCAAGGGCACGGATCGTGCGGAACAAAATTGGGTAAAAAAAAACTGCTTTTCAAATCACACACTTTTGTTTGCACTCTAAAGTACAAAATATATTATTTTGACCCCAGAATCAAATCCGTTTGACATGCTGAATAAAAGTGGGGTTGGCATCCTTTCGATATCTTTTATTTTCTTCATGCGAGCCGCCCACTTTTATTGTACTTTGTTCTTTGCAAATTAAAGTTTGTGCATTGTAAAGTTTGTTTTTTTACCAAAAAAGTATGACCCTGTAGAGATGACAAATGATGGCTCTGCCTATGTCAACCCTTGTCCATACAATAAATTAAGGCATGCACATTGCTACACAACAACAAGTCTACCCAATGAAAGGTTGATAGCACGCATCACGGCTATTGCAACTAGAATAACGATCATGCCGATTGCAAAGCGATGAAATTACATTTAGAACACGATACGTTTAGCTCGTTAAAATGTCGTATTTGCGATCATTAAGTACTGTATTGTCTGAAAGACGGTAAGACACATATACGGGGTGTCCGGTAACGCTGGAATCATAGTAAATGCAAAAAAAAAGACGATATTAACGCTATTATTCACAGAGCGTGTTTAATGTGTCCACCGTTGTTCCTGAATTATCTGGACTTGTTCTTCCTTACGCAGAGACATCTAGAGCAGTGGTTCTTAACCTGGGTTCGATCGAACCCCAGGGGTTCGGTGAGTCGATCTCAGGGGTTCGGCAGAGCCCCCGCCACGGAGGTCCGGACACACTTGAATTGTGTAAATTTGTGATGACACACACGGCCCGCTTGGCCATCACTGGCTGCAGATGATCATGCTACACTGCTTGGCCAATCAGCGCTGCGGGGAATTTAGTGCGTACTCAGTAGTCAACGTGTGACTGTTGTTGTCGTACGTCGTGTGATTTCTTTAATATTTTATCCATACTAACTATGTCGGGCAAAAGAAGAAAGTGGTCGGACGAATATGTACAACATGGATTCTCATGTATCACGGAACGTGATGGGAGTGAGCGTCCTATCTGCATGATTTGCAACGCCAAGTTGAGCAACTCTAGTCTTGCACCGGCAAAACTAAAGGAACACTTCTTGAAGCTGCATGGAGACGGGGAATACAAGAACACAACACTTGCTGAATTCAGGGTGAAGAGAGCCAGATTCGATGAAAGGCCCACTCTGCCTGCTCTTGGATTTGTACCTGTTAACAAACCGATCCTGACAGCATCGTACGGAGTTGCTTACCTGATCGCAAAGCAGGGCAAGCCACACACCATTGGTGAAACACTTGTGAAACCAGCTGCATTAAAGATGGCGAATCTGATACTCGGAACAGCGGCCGAAGGTAAATTATCCCAAATTCCCCTTTCAAATGACACCGTCAGTGACAGAATAGAAGACATGAGTAAAGACATCTTGGCTCAAGTAGTCGCGGATCTGATTTCAAGCCCGGCAAAATTCAGCCTTCAACTCGACGAAACCACAGACGTTTCTGATCTAAGCCAGCTTGCTGTTTTTGTACGCTATGTGAAAGACGACATGATAAAAGAAGAGTTTTTTTTTTTATTTTGTAAGCCTCTTACAACAACAACGAAGGCAGCCGATGTGAAGAAGCTTGTGGATGACTTCTTCAGAGACAACAATCTTTCATGGGATATGGTTTCTGCAGTTTGTACGGACGGAGCTCCAGTCATGCTGGGAAGAAAGTCTGGTTTTGGTGCGCTAGTAAAGGCCGATGCACCACACATCATTGTGACGCATTGTATTCTGCACAGGCATGCGTTGGCAACA